AGCCTCAAACCCAAGATCACAGACCCTCGTGCGCACGTCTTAACCTCACTGACCAGGCCCTGCAGCCGCCCGAGCAATGGCCAGTTTCTATGTTCGACATAATAAACCAATTGACCTTAATCACCGATTAGAATTAATTAATTAACTTAACTAATTCATTAAAGTCTTGGATTTAACCATTCGGTCAAACCTACGTCGATAGAATATCCAGTCAAGGCCTAAGTCAAACGTGACCTAACCCGAGTCAAAGTCAAACCTGTTCAGTCAATTCACAATCCTCAACAATTCAATTCAAATAATCAATTTAATTCAATTAACCAATTTAGCCAAATTATAGCATAAACACATATAACGTTCCAAACCATTAAATCTATTCTAAATGCTATTAACTTCATAGTACGGACCTGGATTACGCCGAAATCGAATCGATAGCTCGAACGGAAGACAAATCAACGAAATCAAACGAACGGGTCAAATTGAGTCAAAATACGAAATCGACCAATCAATCCGGCGTGGAGGTTAATCTGCCGGCGATATCAATCCGGGGCAGCGGCTGGATGCGGGGACGGTGACGGACGCCGGCGACAGTGGCGTAGCGGCAGCTCGACAGCGATGAGCAGCGATTGGCGGCGCTGCAATTCGACGGCGATGATGGCGGATGCCGGTAGGGGAGGCGACGTCCAGTGGCGAGGCGTGGCGGCGCTGGACTCGACGGCGAGGAGCGGCGGCTACTGGCGAAGGAAAGGGAGCGCGATTGGAGACCGTCTTCGGCGGCACTGACCCTGGCTGTAGGCGACGGGCTTCCGGCGAAGGTAAGGCCGCAGTTGGCTGGTGCGGTGAAGAGGCGGAGGTCGATCGGCAGGGGAGGACGACCGACGAAGGAAGCAGCGGCGATTGGCGGGGAAGGGCGACCGGCGATGATTGAAGACGAAGAAGGAGAAGAAGAAGAAGAAGAAGAAGAAGAAGAAGAAGAAGAAGAAGAAGAAGAAGAAGAAGAAGAAGAAGAAAGAAAGAAAGAAGATGAAAAAAGAAGATAACGATCCTATGGCTGAAATTAGTTTAGGTTTTATCTATTAATTCCAATACTAGTGGTTTGGGCTCCGGGCCCAAAATACCTGATTAAATGGTCATAACATGAGCTCCATAACTCCGATTCGCGAGCCGTCTGAACCGACGCGATCACAAAAATATTTCCTACGAGATGACGTAAAAGTTGGGCTTAGAATCCAAATTATAATTTTAACCCCTTTTTAGGCCCAATTCGTAATCAATTGCTCTAACAATTTAAATAATTCTTTTGGGCCAGATTTCGGGGCGTTACATTTCTCCCCCCCTTAAAAAGAATTTCGTCCTCAAAATTACCTGAGTCATTGGTCGCCAAAGAGATGAGGGTACTGAGTTTGCATAGATTCTTCGGTCTCCCAGGTTGCTTCTTCCAATGCATGATTACGCCATAGTACCTTTACCAAAGGTACCGTCTTATTTCTTAGTACTTTAGTTTCGCGCGCCAAGATCTTAACTGGCTCTTCTTCGTAAGACAAACTCTCGTCGAGGGTTACAGCATTGGTCGGCAACACATGAGTCGGATCTGAACGGTATCTACGTAGCATGGAGGCATGAAAGACGTCGTGAATCCTGTTCAACTCTGGTGGCAACTCTAACCTGTAAGCAACCGGTCCTATTCGCTCCAGAATGCGGTAGGGTCCAATGAATCTAGGGCTAAGCTTCCCTTTCTTCCCGAACCGTAGGACCTTCTTCCAAGGTGAAACCTTCAAGAATACCATGTCACCAACATTGTACTCTATGTCTCGTCTCTTTAAGTCTGCATAAGATTTCTGTCTGTCCGAAGCAGTGCGGAGTCGGTCTCTGATCACACGAACCTTCTCCTCGGTTTCCTGCACAATATCTGGTCCCTCGAGCTTACGCTCGCTAAGCTCTGTCCAACAAATCGGGGTTCGGCACTTTTTGCCGTAGAGTGCCTCATAAGGAGCCATCTGAATACTCGCCTGGTAACTGTTATTATATGCAAACTCCATCAACGGCAAGTAACGCTCCCAGTCTTCTCTTAAGTCGATCACACAAGCTCGCATCATATCCTCGACAATCAGTATCACCCTCTCGGACTGGCCATCGGTCTGAGGGTGAAAAGCCGTACTAAGGTTCAAAGCTGTGCCAAAAGCCTTCTTAAGTCCTCTCTAGAACATCGAAGTGAACCGGGGATCTGTATCAGATATGATTGACAGCGGTGCACTGTGCAACCGAACTATCTCTCTAACGTATAAGTCTGCCAATTTGTCCAAGGAAGAGTCACGTCTGACGGGTAGAAAATGAGCGGACTTTGTCAACCTGTCAACAATGACCCAGATGGCGTCATTCTTTCGTGAAGATCGTGGCAATCCGATCACAAAGTCCATAGTGATCCTTTCCCACTTCCATTCCGGAATGGTAGGAGGGTGCAGCAACCTTGTCGGAACCTGGTGCTCAGCCTTGACTTGCTGACAAGTCAAACAGCGCGCAGTGAACTCGGAGATTTCCTTTTTCATAGCTGGCCACCAATAAGATTTCTTCAAATCCTGATACATCTTGTTACTACCCGGGTGCATAGTGTATACGGTTCCGTGAGCCTCGCGCAACAAGCGATCCCTCACTCCACCGCGGGGCACCACTAGGCGTTCACGATAGTACAAGACTCCGTCATCGCGAATTGCAAACTCGGGCCTCTTTCCTGTAGGAACTAACTCTCGAGTCTTCTGACAAAACTCATCATCTCTCTGTGCTGTACGGATCTCCTGCTCTAACGGAGACTGAAGCTGTAGCTCGGCTAACGATTTTCTGCTCAAAGCATCGGCCACGATGTTAGCCTTGCCCGGGTGATACTCAATGACTAAATCGTAATCCTTGATCAGCTCCAACCATCGA